TGGAAATGCTTCTAACTTACTACCATAATAAAGTTAGACTTAACTAGCGTTAAATAGCATAGCAAGCAGCGATGGTTATAGTTGAGTAAATGTTTGACATTGTCTCAATGTAATAAAAATGACGTGCATTTAAGCTTTTGTTTGGAAATAAATTCTGAAAGTTATTATTAAATATTGACAAGACGTCATTTATTTCGTTTTATTTTTTAGCTCTTGTTTATCACTGTGAATCAAATTGACAAGCATATACTGTGCGGGTATCGGCACAAATAAATTCAAAATAGGAATCAATGATAATCCAAAGTCAGATATGATCTCAGTATTACTTACCAGAAGGAGTGAGAGTGGAAGTAGAAATATCGAGAAAGTGGAAGTGGATAATATCAATGTATAATGGAATTAGTATATATGTACTTTGTTTTATATAATAAATAGTTATATTTACCACCTCTAAGAGGGTAGCACTGCCATCGGCAGCAGGCCATCGTTTGTTTCTTGTTCAGAAAAAGAACGGGCACGTTGGTTATACAATTCAGTGTTTGAGGGACTGAGTTTCTCGTTGAGCTGTGGAAAGGGGACACCAAAAGCGACTCTTGATAGTCCGGAAAGTCCTATCAATAAAGAAGAGACTTTATCTCTTGCCATACAAGCTCTTTTTGTTAAATTTGTAATACAATGTTGGTTGGTGCATTCAAAGGTACCAGGTACAGCTTTTAAAGTTTCTTTCCCATTTTTAGTGACACGTTTATAAGGGTGGCCCAATTTTTGGAAACAGCACCGGCAAGTTTGGAAGGTATTGTGCTCATTCGTAATGATAACTTGAGTATAGCGAGAGTGTTTCATTTCTTTCCACCGACCTCCATATCTTAGGTGACCTTTGATCGGTGAGCCAACTCCATGCCCTCTATCTCCAATAAACATGATAGGATTCTTTTTAGTTTTCTTAAAGCTGATCGTTCATCAGAACATATCTGATCACTGTACTTCTGCTTTTGAAGCTCGTAGCGTCTCTGTTGCTTCATTCTAGAATGAGAGTAGTAGAGGTTCCTGCTTTGCTCTCTTGTACGAACATGTTGAGCAAATGCCAGCTCCAGCTCCCCCACACTAGTAGCATTGTAGTATCCTGCGGTAGACTGATCCTTTTCTCCCTCAACTACACTAACATTACTAGCTAGTTTCTTGGCTCGTTCCAATTGTCTCCTACATTTCTTGGCACCAGTGCCGTGATCAAGTTGTGCAGACTTTATTTTAAATGAGTTGGGTAGTTTCAGGTGGTCTGATGGACATACTACTTCGAAGGAGTCTGTATAAGTGATTAACTTTATATCAGTTCCTTGTAACCACATTTATTTGATTTTCTAAAATATCCCTACCTTCCTCAAGCAGATTATCAAGAATAGAATACTTGTTGTACAAGTCAATGTGAAATTTGAAGCGACTAGCTTTGAATGCGACTGTTTCCGTCATGTACACGATACCATTATCAGTTCCAGTATAAACCACTTTTTCGTCTTTAAAAACACTATCATCCAAAAGAGTCTCATTCGCGTTTACAATACATGGGACTCTATCTGCCTTAATTTTTGTCTTGTTTTCCGCACTGCCATCTTCTTGAGCCTCTGAACTCTTTCTAGTAATGCTGTATAGCTTGAGTTTCTCTACGGAAAGT